CGAGCGAGCTCCCCCCCTCCCCCGCCCACCCCTTCGGGACCTGGTCTCGGTGCCCACCGCTCTTTCGCATCTTTTCTTCTCCACTTACGTAATTGTTTTGTTTTTGTTTGGGTTCACCCCCACCCCCCGCTTTTCTCCCTCCTCTTTCCCCGGCGCTGCCGTTGGCTGTGGGAATGTTTGGGATACTTTGGTTCTCCAGGTGGATTCCTGGGCTGGAGGCTCAGCTCTGCTCGGGTGGGAGGGATGTTTGCTGTTGCTTTTCCAGCATTGTGTGTTCCTCGAGTTTTACTTTCGCTGTTACTCCTCTCTCGGGAGGCAGAAGAGGTGGAGATCGGTATTCGGAGCTCTCGGTACCCCCGAGTTACTCGCTGACCCGCGCACGGCTCCGGGAGAGGTAGGCAGCAGCACGGGGATGTTTTCGAAGTGAGGCTGTTGTGGACTTTTTAAATAAATAAGTAAATAATCTCAGCGCCCTCACACTCGCTTCTCGTGAGCGCTTTTGAAGAGCGGCACGAAGCTGGATGCAGCGCACAGGGTTAAATGAAATAAAGTAGTTTAGGAGATGGTGCAACGCAGGAGGTTTCGGGAGGGGATTTGTTTGCAGCAAGGGGTTAGTCTGAGTCAAGTGGCTGAAACTTTGTTGTAAGGTAGATAAGCTGGTGCGGGCGCCCCAGGACGTGGGGAGGTGGCGGTCAGCCTCAGCGGACACTGCCTTTGGGGTCTGGTGCCAAGCCCCCCCACAGCCCCGGTGCTGAGGGGCTCATCAGCTGAACGAACCATTAACCCCGGGGGGAGCAGCCCCCAGCCTGGTGTGGGAATCTCAGCATCCCCTTGTCCCAGAAGATAAGCCAGCATTGGAACATCGCCTCTCCGGTTGCCCTGAATCCTGCTGCACCCGGGGGAGGGCTGGAGCACAGGGAGCCCATGGGGGGGTCCATGTTCATGGGCGGACGCAGATTCTACCTTTACTGGGGAGGGGTCTGAGCAATGCTGCGCCATGGGATGTCCCTTCCGCTTTCCCCCCCGCCCCAACCCAGGCGGGACCTCTCCTCCCCACTGTTGCCTTCTCTCCCCTGTGGTTTCCATCCTCAAAACAGCGACCTCGATTGCTCGGAGGAAGCGACGCCCGCTATTACATAAAGGGCTGAGGGTGAGCGCTCTGGGAGGGGAGATGGCACGCCTGAGCCATGGCTGGGCGAACCGGAGTCAGTTCCAATCTGGCCCAGATAGGCACAGGGGGAGTCGTCTGGTGATCTGGCAGTGGCCTTGCAGCTGGCACGGCGTGTGCTCCCTGTCCTCCTGTGTGCACGCTCCTCCCTGGGCATCGGAGCAGCCTACCAGATGCATGGCCCTGAACCAGGAGGGATTTTCTCACCACCCATTTTGGGCAGCCCGGGCGCAGCGGGAGAGCATGGGCTGGGAGGTGTGAACCGCTGCCGTGGGACCCCGTGCCCTCTCTAGGGTACCACATCTGGCTGGGACACGGGCTTGATGCTGTTCTCCTGAGCGTGGTTGTGCTGCTGAATTACACCCAGCTCCTCGCTTGGGCCAGAGAGAGCTCATATACTGGTTAAAGTGCATCTTGGGTTCCAGGGCACTGAGCTTCGTGGGTAATTTGGAGGGTGAGGGTTTATCCCTGCACGGGAGGGGAAGGGTGCTGGCCGTGCTGGCCCACTTCCATGGGCTGCAGAGGACTTTGGCTAAACCTTCCCAGCTCTATCCCTTGGGTGCTGCCACTGGGAAAGGAGAGAGGGAGACACGGTGGTGCCCCAAGCCCTGTGTGATGCCTTTGGGGAGGGGACCGTGTGTGTGCCCATCCCACTCCTTGGCCACCCCCCCCGACAGCACCCTCGGGAAGTTTCCTCTGCAGGTTCTTCCCTCTCTGTTTAACATGAGGACAAGCCAAGTCCCGCCAGGACTAAATATAGTCAAAGTATTCGTTCTTCGGCGCAGATACAAAAGCTGTCGCGACGGAGCCGGGAGGTAAATGGCCTTCGAGGGCTGACTCTGCTCTTCCTCTCCGCAGGTCCCGGGCTGCCGCGCCGGGGCTCCCCAGCGTGGCTGCAGCGCCGTCGCCAAGAGGAAGGCAAAAACGAAGGGGCTAATGAGCACCAGAGAGGGAGGATCTATAACTTCCAGATGGCGACGAGCCCATAATCCTGTTGGGAAGAATTAGGGACTCATCAGGGCAGCAGAGCCTGGCGAGGGGAGCAAAGCACGACACCTCCGGCTCTGGGAGTGCTGTGAGAGGCCAAGGGCATCCCGATGCTGACTGCGCCGGCTGCCCTGCCCCAACCCGCCTGGCTTTGTCTTGCAGAGCCCCGGTGCTGCCAGGAGCCTGTCCCCGAGTGCTGAACTATTTCTCGTTTTAATTGATCGCATGTTCTCCAACCAAACATCATCCGGGTCCTGCTCCTCCCGACACAGAAAGAGACTTCTGCCCTTAACAGAAAGGCTTCTTCCTTCTTGTTTTTATGTCCCGTGGGATTGTAAAGCAGCTTTCTTGCTGGATTTCATCTCCCGTCAAAGTGTGTTTTAAGGAATTACGGGCTTATTCCCATGGCTTTATAAACGGCAGGGATCTGAGGGTCTCTGCCTTCCGTGCCGCCGCCGCTCCCACCTGTCCGCCATGGGGCGAGAGCAGGAGCTGATCCAGGCCGTGAAGAACGGGGACATCCCTGGCGTGCAGAAACTGGTGGCGAAGATCAAGGCGTCCAAGACCAGTGAGTACCCAAGCGCGGAGCTGCGCGCTCCCTCTCCCCGGCCGGGCAGTGCTGCCTTGTCCTGGGGTGCGAGTCCCGGTACCGTCCAAGCCGGGGTGTGCGCGCTGGCTCTGCACCCTGGCGCAGGAGTTACAGCGCAGCCGGAGGTGGCAGCGCAAGCACAGTCCCTGTGGATGAGTGACCGGGCTGTAAGCAATCCTCCTGGCAGGGCCAGGGTTCCGCTGGGGGCCGGGGGCCCTCAAGTGTGGGCCACCAAGTGGGGATGGGCAAAGGGGAATGGCAGCAGCGGGGGGAAGCAAAGCTGCTTGTCGAGGGGAGACACGCTGCTACATAAGGTCTTTAGCGGTTGCCGCTCACTCCCGGCCGTGTTTATCTTGTGAAAAATTATCATCCCAGCCAGTCGACTGGAACCAATCGTCAAGCCTTGAATTTCAGTCTGGTAATGTTTAACCCTTCAGCAGGGCTGTTTTCTCGCACGTGCTCTTGGGAAGGTCAGCGGCAAGCATGGCTCGGAGCGCACGTCGGGCTCGCGGGGGTCCCTAAGGGCACCGTGGTCCTGCAGGCGCCGGACAGTGTCTGGAGGAGGTGGGGAGGGTGGAAAGGTGGAGGAGCAGATCGTGGCCGGTGCCACTGTGCCCTCGTGGAGAGCTGAGCTCCTGGTCCCTTCTCACTAAGAGAAGGAAACTGGGAAAAGTAAATAAAAGGGCGCCCGGTTGGTGCGTGGCTGGGGGAAGGTGCACGGCGCCTGCCCGGGCTGCGGGAGCCATTCGGGGCAGGGGGAGGCTGGGGGGTGCGGGACCCCCCCCTGCCAGGGCTGCACCACATCATGGGGGGTTTCGTGGGTGTGTGCGGGAAAGCTGGAGGGGAAAAAAAGGTCCTGGGGAGGGAGAAGGGAAACTCGGGTAGGAGAAGGAGCTTTAAGGCTTCTTAGGAGCAGCTCAGGGAGGAGAGGCTGGTGCTGGGAAACGTGAGTTAGGCTGAGGATTATAAACGTGAGAAGGGGATAAACTCTCCTGGGTCAGCTGCTGGAAAGCTTTGACTGGGGCCAAAACTTTGCAGATCCTCACTGTTGGGCCTGCAGGAGGGCTGGGGGCTGTCTCCTCCCCAGAACGGCGGTGCCTGGTGCCCCCTCCCCGGGCGAAGGGACTGGGTGACATCGTAGCTCAGGGTCTGCGCCCATACAGGGTCCCTGAGCTGGAGCGAGAGAGCGTTGCGTGTGCAGGCGGGGTGAAGGACACCCCCAAGGCAATGAATAACGTCAGGACGTGAGCGTCCCACCGGCTGACGCAGCCCCGTTCCCCCGAGCTGGTGTCCCATGGCCGGGCAGCGTGGGCAGGTTGGGGTGCCCACAGCTCACCTCCCGCTCTGCACCCAGAGGGGTGAAGTTACGCTTGTTTTCTCCAGTCCCCTCCGGTAACTCTCTCCCAGTTAAAGCCCGTCTGTGTTTTCTCTCTGGCGTCTTCCCCTCCCTCCAGCCGTGGGGCACCCACGTGAACGTGTGTGTTTAACTCCCCCGCTGCAGTGGCGTCAGCAGCTCCCTCTGCTTATTTTCATTTTATTCCTTTATAAGGAGGGGGGAGCAAAAAGCCCAGACCCCTGCAAGGCCATTGCTGCAAGCCCTCAGTGGGGCTCCCGGGCTGGACCCCTCCATGGGGGGGTTGCCTGGCCCCAGGGGCTCATCCCCTGCACGGGGGGCATCGTCGCTTCCCATCCCTCACTGTTCCCGCTCCCTCCTTGCCCTGATGCCACACGAGCCGAGTGTGCGCTGTATTTGCCACTCATTAAAGCGCCTTTTCCATATGACAGGCTGCAATGCTGATTAGTATTATTTATTTTTTTTAAAATCCCTCTAAGAGTCCTTCTGCTGTCTCAGTGGATTGGGAGCTCGGTTGCTGTGATCAGCCCTCCGGGGCTTCCTGTGCCTAAAAAAGTCACCGCACGTAAGCAAAAATCAAGCGCCAGTCCCGGCAGCGGGAACTTCAGGGACACGTTGTTTAATATTCACCGTGCGCAGCCCTCCTCCCCGCGCAAGCGCTGCCGTACAAGTGGGTCACAGCACCTATTATTATAAGGTGGTGGGGCGGGCAGGGAGAAAGTTTTGAGGGCAGGAGCGAGAGGGGAAGGGCAGATGTCCCACCTGCGGGAAGGGGACGTCGGGATGAAGCTGTGGTCACTTCTGCAGCCTGAGTGGGTTCTCCTCCGGGAGAGCCGGGCTGCTCCTGCCGAGCCGGCCGCGCTTTGCTGAGGTTTCCCGGCGCAATAATAGAAACATCCCGCTTTTTAATTTCCTTCTCTTTCTCCCTCTCCCCTCCCCTCCGCGTCGGAGTGCTGCAGAGTTTAATTGAAATTGTTAAATGACCCGTCACGGCTTTGGCCTTTCTCCCCGATGATCAATCACGTCCCCAAGCTGGCCGCGCTCGCCAACAATGCACCAGTTGGCCGAGCCAGGGCGGCCACTGCAGCACCGAGGGGCTGGGGCTCCCCGGGGAGGCGAGAGGCAGAGCTCCCCAACCGGGGGTCTTCTCCCCAAGAAGGGGTGACGGCTCCTGGACCTGGATGGTGCCTGGCAAGGTTCGCGTGTCCCCATCCCAGGCTGTGCAGGGCTAAGGGGCAGGGGATGGGGGTGATGCGGGGGAAGGTGGTGCCCCCGCGATAGCCGGAGGAGCTGTGGAAGGTGATGGGAGCTGGACTCACTGTTTGCCTTCCTCGAGGGAGTGGTGAAGGGTTTTGTTTAAATGTGCGCAAAGTGCAAAGAAAGAGCGGCAGCTGAGCAAACTGGCGTTAAACTCTCAAGGACAGGGAGCGAAGCCCTACTGGGGTTCAGTTGCTGCCTCGGAGTGGTCCGGCTGACTCGAGACAGCCACTTGCCCCATTTCACTACCTGTGTTGGGGCTTTCCAGTCCTTGGATATATCCAAGGCCGGGGGTGGGTTCCTGGGACTCAGCTGTGTCTGGGCTGTGACCTAGCAAGTTGTTAAATGCTAGAGAAGCTTGTAGGGGGTCTTGGCTTTATCCCAACACCGGGGCTGGTGCCCCTCGTTGCTGTGTCCCAGCAGCACCAAGCACAGCAGGGTTTTCCCCAAGAGTGGTGCTGGCCCTCAGAAGCTGCAGTGACCCATGTGGCTGGGCAGGAGAAGGACGGTGCGTGCTATGAGACTGCAGCAGGCAGATGGGGGATAACTCACTCCCTCCCCTTTAAATTTCCTCCTAATCCCTAGTAGCTATATCAGCTTAAGCCCCGAAGCGTGAGGTTTAATATCTCTCCAGTGATTTGTTAGCCTTTGCCACCAGCGCTCTGCGTCCCCATCCTCTGCAGGAACACCCGCCCTTCCTTCGTGTCCCGCCGGGCTTTTTCCTTCTCTCGGCGGCAGCAGGACCGTAGTTGTTTTGGGAAGAAGTTGCTCCTTTTTGTAGTTTGCAGGTTATTTTGCAATGATGTTGTGCTGGCCAGCAAGCCCAGTGTGCCATCGCCCTGTCCCCCTCTTCGCTGCTGCTCCCAAGGGAGGTTTGTCCCAAGCCATGGGTGCTCTGGCCGGTCAGCGCGGTCTGGCTGCAGGGAAGAGCCAGGACCAGCCTCGGGCAGGATCCTTATCGTTTCAGGCTCTGTTACACACGATGGCTTTCCCTGCTGGCGGTGGCGCAGGGATGCTTGGGCATCCTGCCCGCTCTGGTCCTGCCCCGGGCAGTGCAGGCGGCTGGACCCGGCTCTGCCACCGAGCTCAAGGGTGGCCCTGGACACATCCCTTGAAGCCTGAGTTTCGAGGACGAGTTCCCAAGCGTCCTCGGCTGTGTCCTCCCTTCCTCTCCCTGTGCGCTGTAGGTCTGACGGGCTGGACCGGCTCCGCAGCCGCACACCGGCTTGGAAAGGCTGTGGGCACGCCTGCGGAGAGACGCCGAGAAACTCTGCCGAAACGGGCAAAACTCCCTCTTCCGCCGAGACCGAGCCAGGAGCGGGGCGAGGCGCCGTGCCCAGGGGAGCCCGGCTGGCAGCAGCCCCGCACCGGGGACCCCACCCCCCCGCAGCCTGCCGAGACCTGCTCTTGAACCAGCCCGCGGTGGGTGGGAGGGGGAAAAAAAAGTCTTCAAAGGCTCTGGTGAGCACGGGGGCCGCGGGGATGGATGGCGGCACGGCTGGTGCTGCGCAGCACAGGGGGGTCCATCCTTCCCTCCTCCTCCTCCTCCTCCCGTGGCTCCTGGGCTCCCCAGGATGGGGGTCTCTTCTGGCAGCCTGGTGTTTGCTTGGTGGGTTTTCCCACCCGCATCCCGGCTGTCCCAGCTCATGATGGGGTTTAGCGCCTTATTTTTTTTTTTCCACCTCCCTCCCCGGGAAGGAAGAGCCTCACGCAGGCAGCGGCGGCAAAAGGAGTTGAACGGGTGGTTGCTTTTCAAAGTCGGCCTCTAACGGGTGTTGTGTTTGGAAGGGGGCCCGGCTGCCGCCGGTGCGCCCCGAGCCGGGGAAAGCGTCACCGCGCCGAGCGCGGGAGATAAGGCACGAGCAAACAGCATTGCGCAGGGAGATGGAGGAGGCCGTGCTGGGCATCGCCTGGCCCAGTGTGCACGGCCTCCTTGGGGCCCCAGCCCCATGCCCCTCCACACCCCATGGTCACAGGTCCATGTCTGTTGCCTTCTCAGGTCTGTGTTTCTGTCCTCATCCTTTAAAAACGCTTTGGCGGGGCAGCCTGCGGCTCTGTGCTGTCTGCCCGGGTCACCTGCTGCCTTTTCCCTGCCCTGGTAAAAAAGTGGAGGGGAAAAAAAGGACTAATTCTGGGGAAGGGGATGAGTGTGGGCTCTGTCGGGGCTGCCCTGGGCCATGCTGCCTTCCCTCGGGGACAGCTGGGCAGCACCGGGGCATCCCAGGAACTTGCCCATCTCTCCGGGGATGCAGAGGTCCCGCAGGGCTGTGGATGGAGCCGGGATGGCGGCCATCCCTGGTGTCGCAGGCAGGAGGCTGAGGTTTTGGGGCAGGAGGGGGATTTCTATCTTTTGGGTAATTCCCAGTGA